GGTGGATGACTTCGAGGACTTCATCTTTACTCACTTCTTTGGAGAAAGAGCTCTGAAGAGGAGGTGGGTGGCTGTGGGGGCCTTGGGGGGACAGGGGAGGCCGCTGGGAAGGATGGAGGGGCCTGGGCCTGGGGAGGGGGCTTCAGTCTAAGGACTTCTGCCCACTGCTGTCTCCAGCCGCCGGATCCACTGCCTGCCTTCCCGAGGGACCTCAGGGTCCTCGGTGTCCTTTGGGGCTGGGGGTCTTCCCTGGGTGGTTTTGCCCTGTACCTGCAAGGCCTGGGGTGTTGGGGAGGCCCAGCCTTCCAGCCTCCCCAGCTGGAGCCTCGACCTCTACCCCGTGTGCCATGTTAGCTTCCTTAGGAGGAAGCGGGGGGTCCCTTCAGCTCATTATCACCCCTAAAGCCCTCTTCTTCCCACATCCCACCGTGTCCTCCTACAGGTCGGGGAAGAAGGACAAGCACTGGCGGAACCCCAGAGACGTGGGGCCCCGGGAGGAGCCTAGCCACCGCTCCCACCCCCACCCCCAGCCCCACCCCAGGGGCTGAGTCCTGCCTGGGGCATGGCCCAGCCAAGATCCCCAGCATCTCAGACCCCTGGAGGCCAGGCCCCAGCCATGCCCCTGGCTCTCCAGGTGTGGTGTCCCTGGACGTCCTTCACAGAGGAGCAGAACGCAGCGGCCCTGCACTGATGTCACTTTCCCTACAAAAAGGCCTGAGCTGGACCCACCTGACTGGCTATGCAAATATATGCAAATGCTCAGGGCCCCGGGGCGGGGCGGGCTGGGCAGCCGGTTGGGCTGGGCCAGCGTGAAGGGGACCCAGAGGAGCCTGCTGTCAGTGGGGAAGGGCATCCTGTTTCTGTCCCCTCCTGTGTGTGCCTCTAGCCCCACGCTGACCCGGCACCCCCTGGGACTTGACTGGCTGGCTGCCCAGCCCAGCGCTTGCCCTGGGGTTTGTTAGATTTGGAAGCAGCCGTCCCTAGGGGTGAAGTCCCCTCCCCCTGCTTCTCACATGGCCTCACCTCCCCGTGTGAACTAGAGACTTCTGTCAATTATAGACTTAGAAACCAGGGGTGGTTTCTAAGCCCAGGGGCCACCGTGCACCTGCCCACCCGAGTGGGGGGTGACATCCTAGGCCCTGGTACTCACCACCTCCTGTGTGGCCTTTCCTCCTGGCCGTGCCCTCCCCACAAAGCCCCAGGCCCTCGGGGCTGGAAATTCATCTTTCTGCTCCAAGCTGCCTGGAGAGCTGGGAAAAGAGCAGAGAGGACTTTTGTGGACTCGAATCTGGGAGAATGAGATGGAATAAAACAATTAAAACGCCTGTCCTGTTCTGGCACTCAGAGTTACGACCTCCTACAGGTGTGATGGTGGCGGTGACTGGGGAGGCCGAGGCAGGAGTGTCTTGGGTTTGAGGACAGCCTGGGCAACTTAGACCTCATCCCCAAATATTGAAAGAACTGCAGATGTGGCCCAGTGGTAAGACGCCTCTGGGTTAAGTCTCCACCACCCCATCCACCCACCATCAAAAAGAAAGAAAGAAAGAAAAGTGATGGCCTTTGGAGCCCTTGGTAGAGGGCACCATCTTCCTTCCCCCCAGGGCTCTGGGCCAGAGGTGAGGGAGCCACTAGGTGGCATCCGGGCTCCACATTTGTCCAGTCCTCGCCTCCCCCTCCACTTATCACCCCTGTCTCAGGGCCCACCCCGCTGACCCAGGGGTCCTGCTCCACTGGCTGCTTTTCCCAAGAATCTCCTTGGCCCTTGGGAGGGTCCTTCCTGACATCTAACCTCAATGACTTTGGCAGCTCCCTGGGCTTCTGGCCGCCTTTGGGAATTTCCCAGCCAGGGCCGGGGTAGAATGGAGGAGGGGAGGGCCATAATGGATTTCTGTATTATTTAGCAAGTGTGACTGTGACTTGCTTAAGGGCTTTAAGTATGTCAACTCAGGTGGGGGCAGGAGGGCTGGCGTGAGGACCACTGATTCTGCAGACATTTGATATGTACCAGGAACAGTGAATCCCTGGGAATGCAGAGGTACCTTAGAAGCTGGGCGTGGTGGTGCACACCTGTAATCCCAGCAACTCGGGAGGCTGAGGCAGGAGCATCACCAAGTTGGAGATGAGCCTCAGCAATTTAGCAAAACTCTCAGCAACCTAGTGAGACCCTGTCTCAAAAAATACAAAGGACTGGCTTCAGTGGTAAAGCAGCCCTGGGTTCCATTCCCAGTGCCAAATAAATACATAAATGAAGCTTTTGGTGCAGTGGTGGCTGCTCTGTGCAGCAGGAGGAACTGCAGTTAGATCTAAGGCAGAATTGCCTCTCCAGAAAATGGTCAGTGATACAAGCTGGGGGAGGGGGGGTTAGGGAGGAGTCGGATTCTAATTTTGGAGAGGAGGTTGGAAGGAGCAGGGACCCCAGGGCCAGGCTTGGGGTTCGCACTAGGCTCCACGGAGCACAGTTCTTCAGGAGGAAGCCTGGTTTCACCCTGTTCACATTTTTCACCTTCTGCAGCCGGAACAGCTGAGTGGCAAACGGGTTGCGGAGGGACACTGAGGCTGGAGGGTGGGCAGGAGTTGGTACCCGGGGTAGGTGCTGGGCCCTGGGTGCAGATACACATGGACCTCCCTGGGCTCCCAGGGGACCCTGGTTCCCACGCTGGCCTTGGTTCCCTTTCTAGGGCCCACGTCCTTTGTTTGCATAGTGATCTCTCCCAGAGGCTGGTAGGTCCTCCCAGGCCCCCTCCTCTCCTTGGCCTCTCGGGGAGCAGATACGAGGAGCTGGGGTTTCTCCAGCTGCTGAGTGAGGGAGAAAAAGACAGCTATCAACCCCAGGGGTGTCGGGAGGCCAGGGTGCCAGGACACCCTCTCGGGGCGCTCTTGGGGGGTGATCCTACGCCCCCCCCCAGCGTTGAGGCCCCTCCCTCCATCACGTCCATCAGTCATGTTGGTGAAGAGGAAGGACCCGGCCGTGGCAGCTCTCCTGACCTGGAGGCCAGTGAGTGGAGACGGGAGCTCGCTGCAGCTGGAAGGGCTGGGGATGCCGCCCAGCGGCAGAGTGCTTGCCCAGCTTGTGCCCTGGGTTCAGTTCCCAGCCCCACAGACAGACAGACAAAACCCCCACGTGGCTCGGGTACCACTCCTGCCGGGCAGTGTGTAGAGCCACTGGGGGCACAGTGCTGTGTGTGCCAGGTTTGGCTGGGCCCTGGCAGTGTGCGCCCCTGCTGTTGGCAGTGCTTGACTGACTCGCTCTTTCAAGCAGAGGCCCTCTGCCCTAAGGGCATCGCTCTGGGGTACCTGGGGGCATCGCTGGAGGGAAGGTAGCCTGCTGGGTCGTCTGCCAGTCCCCCAAACGACTTTTCCAGCCAGGCCAGGAGGCGCACAGTCATCTCAGCAGCTTGGGAGGCGCAGGCAGGCGGATTGTGAGTTCAAAGCCAGCCTCACAACTCGGTGAGACCCAGCTTCAAACAGGAGAAGGGCTGGGGATGATGGTCGGCGGTCACGCGCCCTGGTTCAGTCCCTGGTTCCCAGTCAAACCAAACAAACCCCGTTCTCCCCGGGGGTCCCAACCGAGCCCCTCCTCTCCACCCCGCCGTCCTTCTCAGCCCTCACCTCTCTCCCCTGGGGCCCACTTCTTTCCCAGGCTCCTCCTGTCCTTGGCCTTCATGCTCCCAGCTCCGCTCCTCTCACCCAGGCCCCTCTGGTGTGTCCCCTCCTGTCCCCTCCTCTGGGGATCCCCTGGTCCCTGCCCCAGGGCCTTAGCCTCCCGCCTGTCCTCCATGCCTGACCACCCCGTATCTCCTCGAGGACCAGGGCGTGTACTCTCTTCAAGAGAAGCTTCCAGTCTTCTCTGCTGGACCCCGGGACTGACCAGGGACTGGCTGGCGGTTGCCATGGGAACCTCCCAGGGCCACCCAGATCCAGGGACAGCTCCTCATCTGGCCTTGTTCTGGTCCACAGATGAGCAAAGGCCCTTCCCATGTTCCCAGCAGGGGTCTGGGAGGGACAGTGTGGGGTGGGGTGGGGTGGGGCCATGGATCTCTCCTCTGGTTCTTCCCCCCAAACTGCCTGATTCATAGAAGCCTCTTGTCACCCACTCAGGCTCTTATCGGAGTTTCCTGTCCCTTTTCTCACAGGCCTTTCTCAAGGTCACCACTCTTTGGTGGCCTTTGGCTTCCAGATTAGCTGCCTGCTCGCTCCCCCATGGAGTGACCCTTCCCATTCACCTTGCGGCTGTATCCCAGGCCAGCTGCGGCCCAGCTGGGCCTCTTCTCATTAGAGATTTGGCCTGAGCAAGATTGGGGTCAGAAAAGCCAGAGTTAGGTCCCCACTGTGCCCACCCGGGGCCTGGCCAGATGCCCCTGTGGCTTATAGCTCGGCCTCTTCATTTGAGCAGACTCCGCAGTGGCCCCCTCGCAGGCGGCTTTGGGGTTAAACATTCCCCTTAAGATCATGAAAAGGCGTCTGCAAGCTGCCGAGTCCCGCTGCCCTTTGGTTTCCATGGGACATTGCTTCCAGGACCTCCTATGGGTACCGAAACCCGTGGCTGCTCCAGACCCTTATATAAAATGACATCGTATTGTGTAAGGTCCTTGCTAAGCATCTGGAGGGCCATCTTAAGTCATAGAAGCAATTTTAAGAAAGATTTTGCTCTCCTGCCCAAGGGAAAGGCTCAGCACCCCCCATACCAGCCCCGCCCCTAGCCTCCTGGGTGGTATCAACCCACCCTTCACTGCCCACATTAGGACCCGCCCTACCCAGTTTCACCCTGAGCATCCCCCATAAGTCTTGAACCCCAAGCCTGTTCTGCCTCTCTCTGTCTATGGAGAGATAGCCTTTGTCCCCTCTGACAAATAAAGTCTCCTGTGTATCTCTGCCTGGTCTCCGTCTCTCATTTCTCGCTGGCCCGCCTCCCGGTTCAATTTGCATATTACCTGTGCACAGCACAGACTCCCCTGTACTTTATTACTTATTAATTTATTTTTCTGCTCATGGGGATTGAGCCCAGGAGCTTTCTACCTCTGAGCTACATCTTCAGCCTTTTTATTTATTTTTTATTTTTAGACAGAGTCTTGCGAAGTTGCCAAGGCCGGCCTCCAACTTGTGATCCTCCTGCCTCAGCTTCCCAGCCAGCTGTCACTATAAGCATGCTCCACGTTGCCTGGCTTCCCATGTACTTTATTTAAATAATCTCTAGCGGACTTATAGGACCTAATACAACGGAAATGCTATGTAAATAGTTGTTGTACTGCATTGTTTAGGGACTAATGTTAAGAAAAAAGCCTGCACATGTTCAGAATGGATGTATTCTTTCCCCCAGATATTTCCAATCTGCAGCTGATGGAATCCAGGGATGTGGGATCTGCAGATACAGAGGGCCAACTGTACGGTAGAGGTATATTTTAATTTTACTTCATGTCTAAGGAGGAAACTGAGGGTTATTGCTGTAGGACAAGAGAATGCTTGTTCCCAAATCAGGTTACAGGAGCTGGCAGGGGAAAGAGGGTAACTAACATTCAAGTTCCAACCCGGGGCTAGATTTGGGGCCCCAATCCTTGTCCGTGACGTTAACAGGATTAGTTTAATACAAAGCAGATTTTTTATTTTTTCCAGTACCAGGGGTGCTGTACCACTGTGGTGGCACATCCCCAGTTGTTTTATTTTTTGAGACAGGGTCTCACTAAGTTGCCTAGGCTAGACTTGAACTTGCAACCCTCCTGCCTCAGCCTCCTGAGGTGCTGGGATTGCAGACGTGCACCCATATCCTGGGCTAACACACTCTCTTAGTGCTGCCTGGAGTCTGCAGAGTGGATGTAGAGGAAGGCGGGGTGGCCTTTGAGCTGGATCTTGGAGGATAATAAGGGTTCAGTGATGGGAGAAGGGCTTTCAGGCGGGAGGGTGAGATGAAGGAAGTGTGGGTGGCCTGGGATCTGATGGTTTTGAGGTACGAATTCTCCCACAGTCCTGCCTGTGGAGACGATCTTTGCTATGGGAAATAGGGACGGTGAATTGGAATGGGCAGGCCCTGTCTGGGAGCAGGGGCACACACCTGTACTCCCAGCTTCCTGGGAGGCTGAGGCAAGGGGGTTGCAAGTTTGAGGCCAGCCTGGGCATCAGACCTGACTCAAAAAACAGCAGGGGAGGGCTGGGGCATGGCTCAGTGTCTCAGTGTTGAAGCTCAAAAAACAGAGCTGCCTTGGGTGGAGAGAGGAAGGAGTCAGGGGACAGGGACACACCCTGCCTCCCAGCTGGGACAGGTTGGATGACTCCACCCTCACCCAAGTTTGGAAAGGCCAAAGCCTGGTTTTGTGGGATGGCAGGTTTGGGG